AGGTAAGTTAAAAACAGACATTCCTTCCGAGTGGGACTGATTAATAAATTCGAGGGGGTTCGCACCCTGGCTACTACGGGCCTGCACGATGGAAGTGTTCAACGGCCAGCAACCTCGTGAATACCACTATCTATAAGCCTACCATTAAGGCAAACAATTCATTACGCGCATACAGTATTACGTAAGATATACAGACGTCTTAATTAAGTACCTGGATGCAATACTTTTTTTTCTCTTTTGTGGGAGTTACACCCACTTTTATTTCATTTCTCTTTTCTTAGTTTAATAACATTTTTTTTAACCCATGAAATAATGACATAATTGTAATTACAAAGGCCATTGAATAATAATAATAATAATAATAATAATAATAATAATAATAATAATAATAATAGTACTAGTAATAGTAATAATACTAATAATAATAATGATAATAATAAACACTTTCTTATAATTTAACATCCATTAAAGGTTAGTCCCTTTAAAGCTGCATAAACAGTAATTCGTAGTTTAACATTATTTTTCATTATAATATTACTAATAGTAATAATGATAATAATAACTAACACTTTCTTATAATTTAACATCCATTAAAGGTTAGTCCCTTTAAAGCTGCATAAACAGTAATTCGTAGTTTAACATTATTTTTCATTATAATATTTTGAATAGATTTGTTTTTTCTCAAAAAAAAACAACTTGAATATTAATACAAACTTGCTTAAATATTTTTTACTTTTTTCCCTTAATTTTTGTTTCTTTCAAATCAAAGTATCTGATGGTTCATCTCTTCATTGTACCATGATATAATTCATAACATATATATACTGTCACCTACATACATACATACAAACACACATATATATATATATATATATATATATATATATATATACACATATATGTATATATATATATATATACATATATACACGCGTACATGCATATAGATGCATACACTTACATAAACACATACATATACATGATTACAGTTCATCAATGATCGGATTGGTACTCTTATTTCTTTATGGCTCATTATTTGGATCCAAGATGTGCAGTATGCTATGAAATAGTAATTATCCCATATTGAAATTGGAACATATCAATAATAATATTTCATGAATTAACAAACAATAATCAATCAATCCCTCAATCAGTTCATTGAACCACAGTCGGCTTGTGAATAAATAAAAACCATTTGTTAAACAGTACAGTCGTTTATAAAGGTGTACAGTATGTATTTTAAACACTTTACATTAACAACATTGCTAGAGACCATACTGATACCTAATATTTTTGTTTTGTTTTGTTTTGTTTATTGAGTGCGTATATCAATCCATCTTTGCCTATGTTTATCACCTGAATGTATTCTAGCTTCAATATCATATTGACTTTTCACACTTGAATTGAATTTGCAAAATAAGACCCATGGATCTGTTGTTACTGGGTATAACCAGTTTGTATAAATTGTATAAGCTGCTTTTGCAATTAATTCATTAGTGATGTTGTTTTGTTTTGCTATACCTATAACCGATAAATCTGTGCTATTCGTTCCCCTTAGTCGTCTCCGAACTTATGGTGATCGAGCATTTGCAGTTGCTGCCCCTAAGCTTTGGAACAGCCTGCCTGAATATGTACGCCAGGCACCTTCAACTGGGATTTTCAAAAGCCGATTGAAAACACATCTTTATAACTCACTATAGACCACTCACATTCGTTCAATTTCGTTGCGCGATAGGCCAATATTTAGTTACACACATCATTATGACACCTGTGAAATCAATAGCTGACCGGCCTTGGTCGGTCAGTGAAACGGTGTGATGATGTGTGATTCTATTTTTTATCTGTTTTGTCGGTTATTCTGTTTGGTTAGTTTAGGTTATTTCCGGTCAAATTTATTTCCATACATTATTCACATATATTTTTCAAGTGCCTTGAGACGGTTTCGATCGTGGAAGGCGCTATATAAATATAAAACCATAACCATAACCTAATATAACATTTTTGAAAGTAATATTAATCTTAATTTTAAATATAGATGCAATATTCTTCCAATAGTTTCCTAGACTTTTTTGCACGTCATTAACATGTGTTCTTCATCAGCAATTGTTGCACAATGTACACACAATGGTGAATCATCTAATTTCCATTGATATAACCTTTTCTTAGTTGGTAAAATTCTATAGTAATTTGAAGTTAAATTCAGCTAATTTTGGAGTCTTTATCTCTAACTTATAACTTGTTTTGTCCATACTTTCTCCCAATGAATATTATTACCTGTAAATATCTCATTCCATTTACCTTCACATTTTGGTTTTATTGATTTTCTTTGAACTAAGTATCGTCTACACTCTTTAGTGCTAATTTTTTCCATATTTATGTATTTGTTTGATTCCTCTATATAAATACTGGGTTCAGCATGTGTCTCCTTACTACTTACATTATGTTTGTCACTATTCAATATGTTCAGCCAATATTTTAGGAATGGCTTTTTTTATTTGAAAATATTGTACAATCCAATTTCTTTTATTACCTAATCTTGCTTCGATTGTGTTTTCAGATAATATTTCAGAGTTTATTAATAAATCTTTTAATTTAATAATACCAGCGTTTATCCACTCTTTGAAGTATAGTGACTTATCATTAATTTTATTATAAGGATTACCCCATATGATTTGTTCTTTTATATCCTTTGTAAAAGTTGGATACTTTGTCCTACCACCACCGATGTAGTACCATGCCATTACGACCTTGGTGTAGAACTTTGGTAAATTTGTTAATACTATATTTTTACATAGGTTTGGCATTTCAAGTGCACTCAAATTAGGACCAATTTTATTGATATACGCAAGTGGAATTTCTTTCCAATTGGCTTCTTCTTTACTTAACAGTCGTTTTACCCATGATATCAGCAAAGCTGTGCATATTGATTCAAAATCAGGGACATTAATTCCACCATTTTCCTGTTTTAAAATTAAGGATTTTCGTTTTATCTTTTCTTTTTTATTATTCCAGGTGAAATTGAAGATAATAGACTCGACCTCTTTTATAATCGAGTCAGGTACTTCAAGTACGCTAGCAATATATATTAATTTTGAAAGACCTAAATTTTTCAGTATAGTGGATGCAAGACTTTGCGATGCAGTTACTACTCTCAAAGAAAGAATTCAAAACGTTTAAAGTTCTCGCTCTTCGACAATTATGAAAAACCAAACTCTGGATTATGAACTTTTCCGTTTACGAACTCAGTCCGGACGGAAGGGGTAAGCAATTGGGAGATGTGACTGTACCCAGTAATATAATTGGTCGAGAGATTTAAAAAAAAAAAAAAACATGTTTGAGTCAGTGTTTAACTTGTTGAAATGAATTAATATTTATTTCTTTACTTTTATATTATAGACCCTATTGTTATCATTCTTCAACATCATATTACAGGCCTTGTCTTAAAACTTGCATCACTGGAATTTATAAATGTTTTTTTCTTAACCATTATATTATAGGCCTTATTGTTTTCATTCTTTACCATCATATTACAGGATTTATTGTTTTAAATACTTGCATCATTGTAATTCAAAAAGTGTAAATAATTCAATAAAGTACTGTAAACATCTTAGAATTTTTGTTTTGTGTACTTTAATTTGAGTGGAAGATAACTATAGAACGCCTTTGAACCAAGGAGTTTCAATAATTACTTAAAGCATATTAAAAAAAAAAAAAAAAAATACTTAGATGCTTGAAAACAGAGGTGGAACCTGTGGGGTCGTAGACAAACATTTATTTTTTCCTTCCCAAATTGCGGAGTTTACTCCACAAGTGGGCCTACAAGGATTTTTGCTCCCGAATTCTATACTACAGAGGCTAAGGTGGTTTGGACCCTTGTTGGATTTGCTACCCCTTCCCTGTTGGCAAACTCAGGTGCCACTGCTGCTAAGTCAATGCTTTGCAAACTCCTTGCCATGGAACAAAGTAAAAGTAAAATCAAGGCGGTAAACAGAACCGGAGGAAGGCCAGGATTGTTCGGGTGGACAGTTTCAGTGTCTACAACGCAAGAATAGGCTGACTCGCTATCCTCAGCCCAGTCGTGTTTTTTGTTTGTTTTTTGGGTGAGGCTTACAATTTTAGGACATAAGCACCTGTAGATGCTCAGGCTACACATTTGTCCTAATTTGGTAATACAAAACTCAGTTTTAATAACATCAAACATTTTTAAAAATTGTTTTGAAATTCTTTTTGTAAAAAAAAAAGTAGTGGGGTGAAAGCTGGACTGGATGGACCGGCTCTGGCGCCTCTGGTAATATATATATATATTTTTTTTTTAAATTCAGCTGTTTTTGTTTACAACAAGGCACTCGAAATATGGCTCCTCTTCAATGTCTTCTGTTGACAAGAATCTTTTCTTGTTTGCAAAAAAAAAAAAAAAAAAAAATTTTCAGTGGTTGGTCCCTCTTAGAATGAAATTCCACTTAGGCCTCCAAATTTGAAGTGAACACTTTTTTTCATTTCAGTTCTTCAATTCATGATTAATGATGATGGTAATAAAGTTAACATAGACCTATTTAAATTTATTAATTTTAAAACTAAGAAAATTTCCCGGTATTGAAGATACAAATGAGAAAATATCTTTCTTGCCAAATAATATGCATAGATAATATTTTTCCTATTATCGTTTACATTAGTTTATTATATTGATTGGTACTCAATTTATAATTTTCATAATTTTTGGTATATAGGCCTACTTTACAAATACAGTATTGTACAGTATAATAAATTGATGATACAATTTCAGTTGCAGTCTTATGTCTGGAAATATTGCAGCGTTTCAAAATCAAAAGCTTATAATTAGTTTAATTAGTTAAAAAACATCCCTAGTATAAAGTCACATCAAATATAATGAAATTTAGTACTGCATACTAAAAATAAATAAATAAACATTTCAATCTGTGTTTTCTATAAAGAGCGGAAAAAAGTTTAGCTGCAGAGGGCAGCATATCATAAAAACATCATGCAATTCCTCGGAAACTAAATTTTACTCAAGAGACGAAGACAACATGATTGAAAATTAGCAAAAATTGCCTGAAATCGTTAACCTACCAAAATGACAGAAATAGATAAATGGTGCAACGATTTCCAGGTAAGACGTATCGTTTAATCTTTATATTTATTATGGGTATATATGATATTTTATTGGCTAGGCTAGTAGCCAACTACAACTAGGCCTAGCGTAGGTAGGCCGTGCTCACTCAACAACAGGCCAGCCATAGGGCCAACCTGATCCACGGCCTGCCTAAGGCCTATGTAGGCGAAGGCGTACCTAGAGTAGTAGACCCCAGCAGGGTAGACTTTTAATATCTTAGGCCTAGCTAGGGCATTGATGTATGCGAATACATGTCAAACCGTACCCATGCCAATCCGTACCCACAAACCGTACCCAAATTTTGGTCAACCCGTACACACAATTTTGGTCAACCCGTACACACGTTTGATGAATGATATTTTTATTATAATAAAACATTTTGCAAATTGTATTGTATATTAGATAATAATCATATTAAACTATATTATGAACGCCAAGGTTACTGGTTAGAATACATAATTACCTTTACCAAGCATGCATTAAATCAAATAAATTGGTACTTGTCACCTGTTTTATGATGATTTTGAAATACTCTCATTAAGATAATTAAGAAATAACTGGAGGTCTTCATTTTTCGGGTCTTCGGTCTTCGGGTCTTCGGTCTTCGTTTTGTAGACACCCATATAGGGTGTCTATAAAACGAAGACCCTTGAAAATTTCACAAACAGATGCCCAAAAAATTTCGTAATTTGTATTTTGTGAGAGCCTGGCGTATTATCATCCAAATGAAAGAGAAAAAATAGGGTTCTTCGTTTTTGGGTCTTCGTTTTATAGACACCCAGCAAGACTGCATAGTTCGCAAGCTGTACAAGGCGAATCTTGCACACTTTACAAATGTGCAGACAATTCCGATGTAGGGGAATCTTTGAGACTTTAGAGAAATATGCTCATTTGTGTTCCTCAATCATTAGCAAAGTGCATCCGCTTACTGGCAGAACTTTTAAGTGGTGGCCAGACTTTCTCTAAACAATCTTTGAAACAGTTTCTGAACTTGGACACACCACATCACAAAGAGGGTATTTCTAATCACCAGTAACTTGAACCACAAATGCCTTTTTTCCTACACTAAATTTTTGTTTATACAACTTAAAATGATGGCTTCTTGTTCTGGAATATTCCAATCTTGTATAGACCCTCAGGCTCCAAAAGATCACTACCAAAAATCTTAATGTCAAAAAGTTAAATGTGATATCTGCTTGTTTTTTCCTACCAAAGTTGGCATGGCAGATTAATAGCCTTAAGTCTACCCATGCAAAAATTGTCTCTCAGATTTTTAATTAAATCATTTTATATAACACAACTACCGTATAGTACTCTATCGCAGATCAAATAATGAACATAGAGATATGCATGATGCCATTACCATCTAGAAATTTAATAAATGATCTTTTGATCAACCCATGCATGATGCCATTACCATATAGAAATTTAATAAATGATCTTTTGATCAACCCCATCCCCTATTAAATGCAGCTCTCGCAACCTTTCACTGAATTGTGGAATATCCAACTGTTCATCATACTAAGATCTGATTCTTCATTGACCTGTGTACTGTAATTTCACATCTTGATCAACCAGTACCAATTTAATGTTTACACTTACAATTATTAAATCCAAAATGAGGTCCATGATTTTACATTTAGGGCAACTAACTGCCAACTAACGGCCACTAGTATAAAGCATTTAAATATTGATAAAATATCTTTGTGTCATCAGCAAACAAATTTATAAAAGAATCGGAGACAATTTTAAGCAAATCATTAATTTGCATGAATGGGCTTTACTGAGGCAGCGATATTGAGTGGATAGTGTGTTGTATTGAATTTTTTTTTTTTTGCAACTCCAAAAAATTATAAAAAGCGTCTGTAAGGGAAGATAATGTAAAGTTAACATCAATAATATTTTTATTTCGTTAATAATAGGCCTCTGCCATGGGACTGGATTGCAATGGGAAATTGGCAGTACTAGCTGGGTAAGTATCTCCCTAACCTATTTATTAAGAAAGTAGGCTACTATAGTTGTACACCACATCAGCTTTCAGAATTATTCTCATCTTAGCTATTACTAATAATACGTTACATACGTTTCTTGAGGTATATTGAACTGAATGTGTTGAGGAGTACATTAAAGTTCACTCTTAATTTTCATTGAACTATATTATATAAACATATTTTTTCATCATCAGGCGGAAGAACATGTGTATTGTAGACCTTGACAATCTGCTGGCAACGCCTATGTACGTCAAGCGTAAGAGTAACTTTAAATGGGACGTGAGCGTCGTTGAGTGGAATCACCATTTGTCAAACCAGTTTGCAATCGCTGTAAGTGATTATGTATTTAAATAATTAGATTTGTTTACAGAATTTTATTTAAAATATATGGTTTTGAAGACTGCAGTGAGATACCAACATCTTTTGTAAGAGAAAGAGTTAAAAACAATATTATTAAAATATGCAAAATCCTACAAATTATATGAAAGACAGGTGAAAGTCAGTAACCCTTCGCAAGAGGGAAAATCCTACCTGCAGGCCTCCAAACAACCATATCTGTGAATTCTGCTTATTATAGGCCTATGCAACTATCCCAGGAATGCTTTGAATGCGGCACTTTACTTTTATCATGCTACTTAAAACAGTTACAGTAGTTCCCAACAAAATCTCATTCACGAGAATTGAAATTACAGAGAACCCCTGCCCCCACCCCCCAAAAAAAGGAGAAATCAATTTTGTTTTGTGATAACTTTACACAAGCAAGAAATAAAAGATTATCAATTTAAAGCAAGAAATATTGAAAAAATGAAGTCTCTTAATTCTCGGCAAAATATTAAATCAATCTTAAGGTGTGAAATAATTGTAATGAATTTAGTGTCCTAATATTGTACTGTAGTACAATGAAAAATAGAATAGAATTTGAAATTGCCAAAAAACTTAAAAGGTATGCAAACAAGAGAGGGCTTCAGCCACAACATCTTAGAGTTTCACCTTAGGTACATAAAATAACAAGTTTGAGATTATCTTTTTGTGAAGCGGTTTAGCGCAGCGGGAACTGTTTAGTTTCCCAACTTCAAAGTCAGGGTTTCAATCCCTTGCTGTGTATTTTGCTTGTGTCCTTCAGCAAGACACTTTATCTGCATAGCTTCTCTTCACCCAGGCGTTGAAATGGGAACCTGACCAGGTTCCCATTTCAGTGGAGTTTGGACCCAATGTCCAGGGAAAAGAACTGCGCTTAACCGCAAGCAAGTGGGCATTATAAGTGCCCATACCAATACCGATACCTGTGAGATCAACTTAAAAAAAAATAATTTGTCCCTTCAATTATATATTAATTAAGAATCAGGGATGTAGTGATTGCAGTTTACACTTGGTCATGCTTGAGTGATTTATTTGATTTCAGTCTAATGAAACTGCAGACATATACAGTAAACAAGAAGCAGACTGGAGGTTAGACTGTTCACTGAAGGCTCACAGCAGGGCAATCAGGTATTACGTCATCATAATTAAATTTGTTAAATTATATTTTCCAATGAAAAGTTGAGATTTTTCTCACCTTTTTTTTGCAAACTTTTTCTTTAAATCGTCAGAGAAATAAAAATATTATTTTGTTTTCTAGCAAAAATATTTTTGCCAAAAACATCCTGCCAAACGAGAAAATAGAAATAAAATTTTATTGGTAAGTGCAAACAGTGTAGTGATGGGATGGTTAAATGCTGTAAATTTATATATTGATGAAGAAATTTGCATATCTTATTTTTGGCGATTTCAATGCAGCAGCGGGCGTAATAAATATAAAGAAAAACTTTTATTTTTTCAAGAAATTTCAATTTTTTCGTGCTGGCAGGTGCACTACAGTATAATGGGCCAAAAATAATATTTCATTTCCATTTGTGGCAAAGACAAGCCAAACCAGTCACTTGTTGCAAAAATCGATTTTGAGTTATTAATACAGTGTTAGAGAGTAAAATAATAGCTATAAAATGGTAAAAAAATCATTCACATCGGACATTTCCTTATGAAGTTACAAGCGTTTAAACACACAGCTGTTTAAAGAACTATATATGAGAAATCAGCCTTCAAAGTTTATGATTTCAGGCATTTCTCATGCAGAAACTATCAACAAATTCTTAAAAAATGTTGTTTTAATATTGCACATTAGGAAAATAACAGCATAGAATGATGTGTAGGTATATAAAGGATAGTTTAGTGCAATAAAATAGATTTTCAAAGATTTGACATTCCAGCATGATTTGGCCATTTTCTCTGAAACACGATTTGCGACGAGTGACTGGGTTGGCTTGTCTTTGCCACATGAAATCATCATTATTGGTTCACTAAAACAAGGAAAAAAAAAAAAAAAACGTCTCGTCTGAAGTTGAAGTTGTATGAACATCGTAAACTTACTGTTTTAGAAAATAAATATTAAATAACTATATCTATTATTTTCTATAAAAATTTAAAATGAGTTCGACATCTTTACATTTAACCAGATATCTTGCCAGTACATTCTGCAATATTTTCATTAACAGCTGTCTAGGCCTGCTAGATATGTTTGTTTAACATATACTTGAACTGGTCAGGTCTATAAATACTAGATAAAGCTTGGTGCATAGCCATCATGATTGTTGACCTGGATGATATACGATTTCTGGACTAATAACTATACTGTATATTAAGACTATGAATGAGTATGTGTAGCAACCAATAGGTTTAATTATATTTAAGTAACAACACACTAATGTCTAGGTGAATTTGCCAGAGTATTGAAAAATTGTTCATTCCTTCAATGAGATTGAGATAATTATGTGTAAAATCTCAATTATGTAGAATAGGTTCATTTTGTCTTGTAATCCAATTCAAACATTTTCCACTTCTGAAAAGAGTCTCAGATATTAATCCACATTCATATCATTCTTCTATTCTCTAATTAATTACTTCATGCCATTTAGTTTTTTTCTGAATTCGGTATACACCCTTTGAAGCTAGACATGGTTTTTTTTTTTCTATTTGTATGTTTGCTTTTTAAAATTATTAAAATTGCCAGACCACCTTCATTTATTCCTTCCTCAAAATGCTCTTCCTCAATTTAACTTAGCAACTCCTGTCATACCGCTTTTTTCGACTTTGTTGTCATACAGTACTTCTCATTATCTTTCTTCTTTACGGTACTTTGTTACTCTCTAAAATTTGTTGAATTCCTTTCTGGGTGAACAATGATTTTTCTTTTCATATGGTCTGATTCAAATGGCATTGTATAAGTATAGTTTGTGTGGTATGTGGGTCACTAGGACCCTCACGGTGTATGCCCCTACCCCACTAATGCATAGTCAGGTAGGGGTTGGATATTTTAGTTCATTTTGTATTTTCTAGTGTACATTGTGCTCTTTGTTTGGCGGATAATTATCGTCATCGGCTGTCCATCATTTTCTTTTTTCTGGAATTGAAATTGAATTGAACATATAAGATAATAATGTGCTACTGTAGAAATATTAATTTCAACATAGTGATAGAATGATTTAATAAATTATACTAAATTAATGAATATTTCAATATTTCATTTTTTTACGAAATATCTCCTCTATTATTATAATGCAATCATTAAATAATAATTATGATATTCCTCTATTGTAATGCAATCGTTTAACAGATGACCTCGGAGTATTGCCATGACCCTATGTCAATAAGGTCATGTATAATAATCTCAAACTAAATAATTCTGAGAGTCCAGTAGTGTAGTTATTGCTAATGATGGTGATAAGCTGATATTGATAATCACTTATCTACAGTAGATAGGCACTCCCTCCTGGGTAGTCTTCAAGTTTTTAAGGGAACTAGAATATATTTTGGTTTTTCATAAATAGCATCTACTGAAAAAGAAATCATAGATGATCAGAAATCGTTAGAGTGGAGTAGTTTAAATCAGAGTTTATAATTATTTTTTTAAATAGTTATCAATTATGTATTATGGTCATACCAAGATTTTTTAATGATGGCTTTTGGCTCCTGCACATTTTTGTGCTTGCTGTTTACTATTCACCATACTTTATTTGAGTAAAGTTGATAAGATTAGTTTGCGATACGTACAAGCATTTTTATAGGCTTAATACAAGTGTCATCTAGATTAAAGACCACAATTCTTAAGCCACTGTCCAGTAGTTTGTTCAGTACAACAAGTGTATAAATGAGAAATCTATTCCAAGAGAAAATTCTGAATCTGTCTGAATGTTTTTTGCATTGATTTAAACATTGTGAAGCCTTGGTTAATGATCATTTGTGATTATATTCCAGCCCTGAACTTGCAGTTTGGATGAGCAAGGTGGTAAAGCTATATTTCATTCACATTCACCAAGATTGGCCAGTCACCTCAAAATCTGACTAAAGTTTGACATACATTTATCCATCAAGATCGGAAAAATTTTGGATTGTTTTTTTGAAGATTTTATTGTTATTCAATTTGGAAATCTGAACATTTGTCAGTGCTATCCTTCATATTTTGACAATATTTCTTTTATATTGTGTTATAGTTCCTTTTTATCAGTATCAGCTTGAATTTTGACTTTGCTTTAAAGTTAATCTATTGCAATTTTATTGAGTTATCATGTCTCATGAAACTCCAAAACTACTCCACAAAAACCAGAAAGAATCCAACTTGCTTAAAATAAAACTGAAAAACTTGGAGCGGCAAGAAAGCCAGACTTTGATACAATGTGACAAGCAGATCCAGATTTTAAAGGAAGAGACAGAGCAGACAGAACCAGCAGAATCCATACACACTAAAGTGCAAAAATCACAGTTAAGAATTCATCGAAAATCTGTACAAGAATTTAACTTGAAGTGTTTCAACTGGTTGGATAACCTGCAGAAGCAAAACAGCTCAGAAAAAACATCTGGAGCGGTTCAACTGCTAAACAAGAGGACAAGCTTCTTTGGCAAGGACTGGAATAATAGTGGATTTAGAAACACACCAGGAGGGATTTCTGGGAAAACTGATGATCATTCTAGTGAACGGAAGATTGGGTCATATTATGCAGTCAGCACAAGTTATCTTTGGCTTTGTCGTTTGAAGAAAAAAACTGAAGAAAAGTTTTTTCATAGAGAAGAGAAATCAAGAAAACTGAAACCTCTTCATAAGAGAGGATTTTCCCAAAGCTTTGACCTACAAGTACCCTTCTCAGGAGTTAGACATACATATCCTCAATTCACATCACATGCTTTGATGTTGTCCATGAGAGAACGAAATAAGGGTCTTTACAACAGTCCAGAAGATGAACATGAAGGTTCAACAAGAGCAGAAGAGCATATGCAAAGGCCACTGTTAAGAAACAATAACATGGTTCTTGTGAACAATGATCTCCAGAAATCTGAGGACAGGAAGCCAGTAAATGGGTTTCATAATGTTGTCACAAATATTAACACAATGTCACCAAACAAAAGATATTCCATTGATGTTAAACCAGCTCAGTCATCTTTCAGTTGTGAACAGAATGCTTCAGTTTCTGAAAAGGACTCAATTGAAGTTGCCTACGAAAGTGTTCTACCTCCATTATTGAACAGAGACGGGTCAAATAATCTCATAAATTTAACACCAGTTACACCAAAAGCAAAGTCAACAAGACTTAAGAAAATGGAAGAACAAAAAACAGAATTGGAAGATTCAACTGATATTAGGTCACAGCAAGAACATAAACCTGTTCTAGGCAAAGTAATAGGTATTGATAGAGACATGAAGAGCCTTAACATTGTTGGTAACAGTGTTACTAAGATTAGTGTCAAGAATAAATGTAGTAATAGTACAATTAATGATAGCACCAGCTATGCTCTTGATAATATAGATAGCAGTATCAGTGATGGATATGGTAATGTTGGCCATAAAAATAGTGCAGATATTCAAAGTATTGCCAATGGTAATAGTCATAGTAGAGTGCTTGGTAGTAACAGCCCTGATTCAAACAAAGTTAAAACTAAACCTAAAAGTATTCCTTATCAATTGAAAGCTTACCGCAGGGACCTTGATCGTAGAATGGGAGCAAGTTATTATTCTCTCAAACATGGTATAGAAAAAGGTAAAGGCATTCCTCAAAAGAATGTTAGGCAACAATTCACATATGGAAGGCATTTCAAACAAAGAAACCCTCTTACAAAATGAATTGATTTCAAGCATACTATATGAACTGTTTGCAAATAACCTTTTTTATATAATTCTATATTTTAATTGATTACTTATATAATATCTAAATAAGAGTAACTTTCAATTAGATATTAGATTGATTTTCATAGTTAACATTGACTATATACTGTAGTAATGTGCAGTACATGAAGAAGGCATACAGTATTAATTAAATTTGTTAATTAGACCTATTCTTGTTTATATCTTTTAGTAAACTTGTAGCCAGCTGTTTCAATGCATTTGCTTTCAGAAGTGATGCATTTTGAAGACTGCCCTCTAAAGTCCATATTACAATCAAGAGTATAAATTTTTCCACTCT